ATTTTTTGTTCAAGGTTAGCATTCTACACTTGAGCCACAAATCCACTTCTGGCTTTCAAGTAATTAATTGGAAATGAGAGTCTCACAGACGTTCCTGCATGGATTGGCTTGGAACTGTCATCCTCAGGTAGCTAGGATTCCAGGCATAAGCCCCAGGTAGGTCAAATCCTGTAGATAACTGACCAGCATCATTGAGTTTATTTCTTCATGATTTACTCAAGCTTCCTGCCTGAGTCTTTTCCTTTACAGAAGGTCCGTGAGGGGAGGTCAGGCGTCACTCACAACACATACTGCACAATGGGCAGCCCACAGATAAACTCAGCTAAATATGTGGAGATGAATAATTGGAAGGAGATGCAAACTACCTCTATTTTTAATAGTATTAATTACTTCCCCAACTGGGGGAGGAGATTTTTTTCATAATTTTTGGAAGATGGAATGAAGTTTTTTAAGTTGTAATTTGTCACTGTATTTAATCACTTCGTTTGTGGTTTGTTTTTCTAATCACCCAGTATGGAACCCAGGATCTAAGAGGTTGAACTGGTTCCATCTCCCTGTGGGCAATATTGGTGGACCTTCCAGCTGCTTCCTCACTCTGGGGGTCCTAACAAGAGGGGGTGGATGAGGCCCAAAACAGACAATGTAACCCGACAACGGTCACTGGGCTGAAACCATCTCCTGGCCCCGGGAACACCTGCACTGGCCTATAGAGGTGGACATCTTGGCATCCAGCTCATGGAGTGACCTGTGACAGCATACAGGAAAATGATAATCTTCAGCTCTTTTTGTGAGCTGGGCCACAGGTAACCCTGCTAAGAAAGGAAAGAAACCATCTTCTCTGTGGCCATTCGACTGAAAGTGAGAAAGCTGCAGTTAGTAAGCTGGAAATGAGCAAGTCACTTAATTCTCTCCATTTGCACCTGTCTGACAGACTATATAGGAAGATGAGAACTGTTCGGACTACCTCTCCTCCAATAGTGGCCCAGTGTCTAGGAGAAAGTGTTGGCCAGGTTTCATGCAAGCACCTGACTTTCACTGCCTGGAGGAAAGCATCAAATGATATCCAAGTCTCAGACGGAAATCTAAGATGGACAACACACAGATACCTTCCTGAGATAAAATACCTCGCAACTGACTTTCCCATGTGTGGAGTTTGTTTTTTGTTTTTTTCTGAGTTATACAAGCTCTGAGATTAAAAAAGAAGGACTTGTGATCTTCACCTGGGTCAACACGTTTGAGTGCATCTGACATGATCATGTTCTGAGTATGCCAGTGAGTTTTTCTAAATATCTGTGGCATAAATAGACAGAAAAAATTCATAAATACATAAAAATACAAAGACCATGCACAGACTCAAGAAATATATTTGTTTTAGCCCTTTATCTCATGTCCATCTCTTTATTTCTACCTACCTCTCTATGTCGTCTGTAAAGTTACAGTCATGTTAAATAACCTGTACATAGACTACAACTTCTGGTAAACCAGACTTATTGATCCATCATGTAGAAACTTCCCTTAAAGGGTTATTGGGCATTCTAATGACTCACTAAAGGTCTCCTTGATTCATTCATTCAGGAGCTACTTGTTTCCTAGCGTTAAAAGTGAGAGGACACGGGTGTTATAGGGTGTGACAAGCACTTTTTAGTGCATACAACCTTCAGAAGAGAAATAAATCTCAAACTACTACAGAGGGCTTGGAATGTGGCTTAGTGGTAGAGTGCCTGCATGAAGTCCTAGGTTCGATTCCTCAGTACACATAAACAGGAAAAGCTGGAAGTGGAGCTATGGCTCAAGTGGTAAAATGTTAGCCTTGAGCAAAAGAAGCTCAGGGACAGTGCCAAGGCCCTGAGTTCAAGCCCCAGGACTGGCAAAACACAAAAACAAAAACAAAAATGACTAAATAAACCATTAAATTTCAAAAACAAAAATCCAAACAATGACGACTGTTCTTTGAAAATCTCATTTGAACTTGGCACAAACTTGAGGTAGATAGTTATGGGAGGTTGGTTTGCTTGTCATTTTTTTTTTTTAAGAAATTGGTATGGCTATCCTTTAATATTTAACAACGTCCTTGAAAACTCTTAAAAAGGCACCATTCACCTTTGGCATTATAAATTAGGTGTGGAAGACATGTTTGTTTGGGGAATTCACAAGCAGGACTAGGTGTTTACCAGACAGAGGATATCGGTCAAGTTCATCTTCAGAAGACTCACAGGGCAAGTGGGTGAGACAGGAAGTCTCATTTGCGTCCTGAATTGTAGAGGGATGACAGTACCTGCTACTTGGGACCTCATGGACAGCAAGCACTTCCTGACCACCATGCCTCTTTTTGTCCATCTTTCAGCCTTAAGACAGGTAGCTCTGCCCTTTTTAGAAACTTTGATGTTTCTATGCATCTTTCCATTCCCCACAGTCTTACTGGTCTTACCACTGAGTTAGTTCTGACCTCTTCGCAACGTGAAACTTTGAAAAGCAATGCCCTGAAGTTTCTCTGGAAATTGGTGATAAAAATACCAATTCTGATTATAATTACTGTATGAGGATATCACATGCAAGCTCATCTTATCCTGGGTAGCCTGCTCTGCCATAGAGGTGACTTGTCAGGCTAACCTGTGAAGGATAGGTATTTAAAAGTGAGGCCAGCCACTGCCAGAGAGAGCAGGCAATGAAAAGGCTCAAAGACAAGAAAGGAAATGAGTCATCAGCCTGCATTATCTGAATGCCTTGAGGTTTCTGAGGTGAGCCTGCTCTTCCATTGCTCTTGAGAATAAAGAGGACTTCCCCATGTCAGGATACCGTGGGTCTTTGAAGTCCCGAACGACCAGTGGAGATACAGTAAAGAACAGTAAAGATGGCACCGGAATCATCTGTGCACCCCACTCTAACCCTTAGATGTCATCAAAAGTAGGGATGGTTGGATAGAGAGCAAGAGGGAAGAGAAATTAGAGAGAAGGAAGAGAGAGGATTGCTCACATGGCCTTGGGGTTACTCAAAGACAGACAGGAACCGTCACGGGAGCAGCACAGACCTGTGGTAGCTCATCTCATAGATGGACCACTCCAGGTCAGCTCTCCTGCAGCCTCTCCCAGGTAGAGGGATTCTGCCTGGCCACTGTAGATTCAGCAGTTTTTAATGAATGGTGTCCATTTCCTTCACACTGATTGTCTTACCGAGGGCTTATAAATGGGAAGAATGTTCACAGCAGGAAGGGAGGGAGGGCTGGCACAGCAGCTAGTGGGAGAGTTGGCATTTGACGCTAAATGTACCAAAGACTTCAACACATACAGCTATCAGTACAACGACTAAGTGTCTAAACTCCCAGTAGTTCGTACTAAATACCATGTTACAGGCAGAGTTAATGGCATCACTCCCTGTCTCTATATTTTAATGGCCATACAAAATTAAAAACAGCAGAAAAATAAGAAACAAGCAAATAAAAAAAACACCATATAAAAATTAAGATTTATAATATAAATGCTAACAAGTGCCTGCCAAGGATTATCAGGGTAAAATGAACTAGTAAAGAATAAAAATCATAGGCAGGCACCGACGGCTCACTCCTGTAATCCTGGGTAGGAAAGTTCATGAGACTCTTATCTACAATTAATCACAAAAAAAAAGGTCAGAAGTAGAGCTGTGGCTCAAGTAGTAGAGCACCAGCCTTAGGCAAAAACTCAGGGACAACACCCAAACACTGAGTTCAATCCTAAGACTGGCACAAAATCATAACAGAAAACATTATGGAAAAGCAATGGTATTCATGATTTCTATAAATATAAGCATGTTACTTCTGCTAACATCTGTGTTTACTGAAGAGCTAAGTTTCCCAAACACACAACACAAACCCATCATGGGAGATCCGCCCCCCCTCCGAATTAGCGACTAAAACTCCTGTCTATCACTTATTAAGAGCAAAGCTAGTGAAAATAGTCATTACTTTCACTGTTTCATATGTGAGTGCCAGTCCTGGGGCTTGAGCCTGGATATTGTTCCTGAGCTTTTTGCTCAAGGCTAATGCTTCTCCACTTGAGCCACACCTCCAGCTGGTTAATTGGAGATAAGAGTTTTCACTGCCGTTCCTTTCCTGCCCAGGGTGGCTTTGAATCACAATCCTCTGATCTCGGCCTCCAGAGCAGCTGGGATTACAGGTGTGAGCCAGGAGCACCTGGTTCAATTATTTTCCACTAGAAACAAACTCTTTCTATTTATTTTTCTTCCTTTCTCACAATAAAGCTATTCCCTCAACAGGTACAAAACAAGACTTTGGCTATGAGTTTATTTAACCTTTTTTTCTTGTTATTGCTCTCTTTAATCATTTTTTTGGGGGGGTCCAGTTGTGGGGCCTGAACTCTGGGCCTGAGCACTGTCCCTCAACTCTTCAGCTCAAGGCTAGCGCTCTACCATTTGAGCCACTTCTGGCTTTTTTCTTTTTGCTTATGTGGTGCTGAGGAATCGAACCCAGGGCCTTAGGCATGCAAGGCAAGTACTCTACCACTGAGCCACCTTTCCAGCCCCTGTTGCTCTCTTTAAATAGTTGAATAAAGGAGTTTTAATTCAACGTGTCCATTCGCTTACATGGAGAATGTATCTTGATCATCAGTATCACCCTTTCCTTCACTCTCCTCTCCCTCATTCCCCATTACATATTATTTCTGTCTCAGACTCCTGCCTTACCACCAGACACCATTTCAGTTTTGTTCTAGGGAACAATTATTAACAGGGAAAGGTATGATACTGTCATATTCTGTGTCTTTATGAAGTTGATTTCATCCTGAGTAACTGCTACTTCCCTATTTTTGAACTAACTAATGGGTCTAAGAAAATTATTTGAGGCCTAATAGCTGTCTTTGCAATTCACTATCATGATATTGGAAAAGGCCCAGGAACGTGTCATTTCCATCTTCCACACAGGCAATCAGTACCACCAATGAATGCATCTTACTAAACACACACATACACACATGCACATGCATGCCCACTGCATTCAGGAAAATACACACCTGATTGCACTTGCAGATAAGTGACCGTAGGAGCCGCTTGCTGAAGAGCTGCTTCGGGAATTATTTAGAATTGTGACCAAGGAGTTGGGAGACGTCCTTATCATGGTCTGAAGGTCAAAACTATGATCAGACAGTGGTGATATGGACAGCGTGCGTTTCCGACTTGGCCTGGCTGACAGCCTGGGGCTGGGGAACCTGGCACCTGTTAAGGAACACCAAACAGAACCTGATTACTTGTAGTTGGATTCCATCATATCTGTTATTGATTACTCCTGCCTGTGGGAAAGAAGTGAAGGGCAAAAACCACAAAGAGAAGAATCTCTCCTCCCCCTGGGGATCTATGGGCTACAATTGAGGAAATTAGGGGGAAATATTTATCATCCAGAAGCTTACCTCAGGGGAGCTCTGTTTATTAATGTACAGGCAAAATGATAAATTGCTAAACAAAAGGGAAGGACTTATATGTGTTATCCTGCTCATTTCTAATGATTTATGAATCTGACGCCTGCTTAGATATTCTCATGATTAATTCACCACAAGCAACCATGACAGTGATTCCTATATGGGGGTTTAAACACACCATCCCTCTCGTCTCAAAACGCACTGTTTTAAGACAATGAGCTGAAGAATAAACATGAATTAAGGCAGCCTAAAATGAGAACTCAGGTAAAGGCCTTTCTTCCCAAGGTCTTCAGGAGTTTACCTGCTCCCCGGGTATACTTAGACAGGATCACGAAAACAATTTATAAACACATTGCATTCCATCCATGGTTCTCGAACAGGAGTGTGGCATTTGTATCCCAAGAAGACATGTGACAACAGCCATAGATAATCTGGTTCTAACCACTCGGGCTGTGCTGGCCTCCAGTGAGAGAAAGCCAGGGGTGACACAACCCACCCCACGGTGTGCAGGGCAGCCTGGGGGGGAGGGAGATTACCTGTCTGCCTGGGAAGGGTAAATTCCCATAATCCAATATATAGTGTAGCAAACATTTAGAATCTTGAGATGCTGTTTATGGATTTTTCCAAGGTCAGGGAGAGAAAACTGCAAGCTTGACAATAAGATATCCTGTGCCAATAAAGACAAGTGTAATTCTTCTCAGCCAGGCGCCGGTGGCTCATGCCTATAATCCTAGCTAATCAGCAGGTTGAATCTGATGACCATGGTTCAAAGCCAGCCCCAGCAGAAAAGTTCGTGAGACTCTTATCTCCAATAAACCACCAGAAAACCGGAAGTGGCGCTGTGACTCAAGTGGTAGAGTGCTCACCTTGAGCTGAATAGCTCAGGGACATAGCACAGGCCCAGAGTTCAAGCCCCACGACTGACAGAAAAGAAAAAAGAAAATAGGTGTAGTTCTCTGGAATATTGAGCCTCCAAAAAACATCCCAAGATGAAGCCCTAATCCAGAGACTAGCAACTCACGGGCCAAGTTAACACGACAGTTCTTAGTAGGAGCTAAAAATGAAAGAATAAGACCTGACTCAGCAGGGATAGAAAAGCATGTGGCCCACAAGTTCACTAGCACCTCTGTGAAGTTCCTGCTTATGCCACAGAGTCATCACAGTAAGTTTAAAGGAAGAAGAAGAACAAAATGCCATCAAGAAAAGAGTGCAAACAGAGATGTCCTATTTCACAGCACAGACACACCTGCTTAGAGAGAACAGGCAAAACCCACAATTGTGAAGTTGTAGTTAAACCTCTACAGAACATCAGACATATTCGCTGCAATGATTTTCTTCAATCAAGATGCATTTTCTTCTTATTTTGCTCTATTCTGTTTCAGATAGACTCTCCCTAATATAGCTAGATCTGGCCTCAAACTTACAATCCTCCTGCCTCAGCCTACCACATGCTGGCGTTATAGGTATGCACTATTACACTTGACCCAAAGATGGGATGGATTGTGACATATAAAGTAACCATCCAATGTGCTTTGAAATAATTTAACAAAATGGTATAGACAAATCTGAAAGGCTACTCCGTCAATGTTATCATAGATTCCTACTCCTTAGTATGCTAGAATGATCCATGTATCAAACTAGAAAATCAATCTGAAAGACAAATAAAGCACTGATTTAATTATTTTTTTGCGGGGAAGGGGGGGGGGTCAGTTGTGGGGCTTAAACTCTGAGCCTGGGCGCTGTCACTCAGCTCTTCAGCTCAAGGCAAGCACTCTACCACTTGAGCCACAGAACCACTTCCCATTTTCTAGTGGTTTATTAGAGATAAGAGTCTCATAGACTTTTCTGCTTGGTCTGGCTTTGAACCATGACCCTCAGATCTCAGCCTCCCAAGTAACTAGGATTACAGGTGTGAGCCACCAACACCCAGCTTGACTTAAATTGTTTTCTTCTTTGCTGATACTGAGGTTTGAACTCAGGGCTCTGTGCTTACTAAACAAAGGCTGTAGGATTTGAGCCACATTCCTCACTTCTTCCTTCTTTCCTTCCTTCCACCAGCATCAGGATCTGAACTCAGAGTCTAGAGCATTTGGTCAACTTTCTTGCTCCCTACTGGTACTCTACCACTTGAGCCACACCTAGCCCAGCTTTTTGCTGGTAACTCAGAGATGGAATTTTTTAGGCTTTTCAGCCTAGGCTGGCTTTAAATCTCCCATCTGCAGATCTCAGCCTTGGGAAGAGACAGGATTATAGGCACGTGCCAAAAATGCTAACCATGAGCCTGTATTCAGCAGCTCAAAGAGGTGTTATCCCTCACAAATCCAGCCACTGGCTTCTCCACTGAAGCCAGAGCACTGTTATTTTTCTGGGCTGACAGACCCAACCTGGCTTTCCACTAATTGTTTTGTTTCATTATTCTAATAAAGAAATCTGACAAAGAGAAAGGTAGTTTCCTTTTATGTGATGAATGATAGGGGATCTAAATTCCTACTTAATGACAATCAATTTACCATACACTCTGGCAAATTAAAATTCCTTTAATTAGTTTTTACAAAGTAAAAGGGTAGCTTCATCCTTTATTTAGATAAATCCTGCCACATCCTGACTAAACACATTCTCATCAAATGGGCAAAGCAATGCAGGCTGACCTTCCATGGAGTCTCTCTTATTTTAATTCTTTATTTGCAGATTTTTAAATCACTAATTTGCATAATGATGCTGAACTTCTTCCCCCACCCCTCTCACCCACAACAATCACTAATTGAAATGGGGCTGTTGATGAATCTGAGATGTAAGCGCTCTCTACCTTACGGAGCTGAGCAAGCGTCCTGCTGCAGATGTAACGTTTCTTCCTGGGTGGCAAAGTGCCCGGTGGAAAGCAATGGAGGCTCATGGACCCCTGGACTACACCAGTAGCTCTGGGTGGTCAGGAGAGTCAGGGTGTACATTTCTAACTCTGTGGAAACCCACCACCTTGCCTCTTTTCCAAACCTGAGAACCAAGTTACCAGCGGGTTGGGCCCATGCACACCTCTGAAAAAAGAGTGTAGCAGATCAGTGGAAATGCCTCAGTCTTCACTGTTCCCTTCAATCTCAAGATCTCACTAATGCAAGACATTAAACTGGTCCTTTCTGGAGAGAAGAGGGCCTTGGCATAGCCCACTTATAATCCTCGCTATGAAGAAAGCTGAGATGGGAGGATCAAAGTTTGAAGCCAGCCCAGGCAGGCAAGTCCTGGAGACTTTCATCTCCAATTAATCAACAAAACCGGAACACAGAAATGTGGCTTAAGTGGTATAGGGCCAGCCTACCACTTATGCTGAATTATCTGAATTATTAGAACTGAATTTCTGATTAGAAATTATTTCCAATTTATTCTGAATTATTAGAATTGCTAGAATTATTTCCTAATTTCTGATAAGGAAGTCAGCTCTTGGTCTTCCTAAATGTTGCTATTCTGCTCCTCCCTTGCTCCTGGCAATGCAAATCAAACTCAGCCTCGGGTGTTCTCCACGTAAAAAAGACACAGGGACAAAAAGAAATCATTTAACTTGAAATGCGAAGCTAAGTATCGATGGATTTTGTTTTTCCCCAATTAATTTCTAAAGCATTAAAAAAAAAAGCAAGAAACCAAGACGTAATTAAGCAAAGTCCATCATGCCTGGATCCTATTATTTTCTTATCCACAGAGGCAAGTTACCACATTTCTGGATCAGTTATCTTCATATCCCACACCAAACAAACATGCATGGGATGAGCTTCAGTTACCCCAAGACACGTGTTCATGCCGAAACCACCACATCTGTGAGTTCTGTATTCTTCAACACTTACCATCTAAGGCATGAAGGTACTCCATGTGGATAGTACCCGCCCCAGCAGTAGCGGCCGAAGGGAGGATGTCTGCATAGGGACTGCGCTGGCCGGTCAGCAGGGCCATCTGGTGATAGTATTCTGCAGGACTCACTCCAGCATGCGGGGCTGCAGGAGACACAGCCATGGGACAATGAGAAGAACATCTACCATCCACTGCCCTTAGGAAATCCCATGCCTACCTGTCAGCCTCCCCTCCTCTCCCCCACCCCCCTCAGACAATTCCTTTTCTGGCTTAATACTGGAGAGTTCCTACACATCAAATTATGCTTTCCCAATATTAGATATCTTTCATTCGAAAGTGCAACAGTATACAGAGGAAATAAAATAGGCATTCCAAAGATTTTACTGTTTCAAGAAATCCAAATGATAGATGAAAACATACACAGAACAGTCATGCATCCGTTCGCGCACAGACACGTGGCTGGGGCTGGTGGTTCATTCCTGTAATCCTAGCTACAGAAGCTGGAGATCTAAGGATCAAGTCTCAAAGCTAGCCTGAGCAGGAAACATCTGTGAGATTCTGATCTCCAACTAGCTACCAAAAAGTCAGAAGTGGAGGTATGCTTCAAGTGGTAGAATACCAGCCTTCAGGAAAAACAGTAAGGGACAGTGCCAGGCCCTGAGTTCATGCCCCAGGACCCCTCTCCCTCAAGAAAAGACAGGGATACAAGGATATACTCAGAAAGGTGTCATTAGGTGATTTTATGATATACTGATAATAACTTCAATAGGTGATTTAATGTTATGTGACCTCCACTAGATGTAAACTTCTTCCAGTATAGATGGTTACAAAGCTCATGGCTCTATGTATATGGCCATGTTTGTCCCTTGGAAGAAAACAGGTTCTGATACTAAGTTACTATATATACTTATTTCTTACAGCCAGCAGTAGACAAGCTGACAACTATATGACCTACCCAGATATGCATAAAATTCTTCCCTAACCTCTCAGGAGTGTATGAGTTAACACTTACTAACATAAGGACTTAAGAGATTATAAGAAGAAGAGGGGAACAAAATAAAAAAGAAAGAAAGAAAAATGAAAGCAAGCTTCTAATGACATGCAACTGATTGATAAGATCATTTTCACCTTCCCTAATTTAAAAGCTCTCTTTCTGTTATTTTCCTTTATAAAATAAAAACCATAGGGGCTTGGGAAGGTGGCTCAGTGGTAGAGTGCTTGCCTTGCATGCATGAGGCCCTGGATTCGATTCCTCAGTACCACATAAGCTGAAAAAGCCAGAAGTAGTACTGTGGCTCAAGTGGTAGAGCGCTAGCCTTGAGCTGAAGAGCTGAGGGAGAGAGCCCAGGCCCAGAGTTCACGCCCCATGACAAAATAAATAAATAAATAAATAAATAATACACAAACATATATATAACCTATACACACACACACACACGTACACACACACACACACACACACACACACACACATCTACTATGTATATAAAACCTATCAATCTGGAGCAATTTGCTGGAAAGAGTCAGCTTTCCAGGAATGGGGTAATGACCAGTTTCTACCTGCCAATTTCTGGGCCTGAGTAGCAGGATACTGGAGCCGACCTGAGTATGGCCTCCAGATTCCCAGAGGTCTAGATTCACACCAGTTCTGGGAACTGTCTCAAAGCAAAAAAGTAATTCCATGCATGTAAAGTGCTTAATATATACCATTCAGTCAGGATGGTAAAAGTTTTACAATGATTTTCCCGGAACACCATTAGTTTGGCAATGTCTGTGAGTTTTGTATTATAATTACATACTCATACTCACATGCATGATACACCCAAAAAACAGAATTAAAAGCATTAAAAAAAAAAACCCTTTTAACTAGGTACCAGTGGCTCATGCCCGTAATCCTAGCTACTGGAGAGGCTGAGAACTGAGAATCAATTCAAAGCCAGATGGACAAAATATTAATGAGACTCTCATACAAGTTAACTAGCAAAAAGCTAGTGGCTCAAGTATACCAGTCCTAAAGGAAAAAGTTGAGGGAGAGCATCAAAGCCCTGAGGTTAAAGCCCCAGCACCAAGCACTCCATGAAAAGATTCTCCACATCCCTTATTGCAAACTCAAACCCAAAGGAGGAATGCTAACTCATACTTGACACTACCAATTTTATCTTTCAAATGGGAATACTGTTCAAACGGTAAAAGCCAATTCCAAGTGCACAAAAAAAAAAAAAGAGAAGAAGAAGAAAAAAAAAAGGAAGCAAATAAATGAACCAGCAACAGTTGCAAGAGGACTTAGTCCTGGGAATATATTGGACAGATAGTCCGTAAGAAATGTACTGCTTCCCACCTCACACAGCCAGCCTGCGGAACCCTTCCCAGGAAGAAGGTGGAAGAGGACAGGGAAGCCTCCTCAATTACCTATCAGTCAAAAGAAATGTATGGTCTCCCTCTCTCTTTGAAAGCAACCAGCAGTGACTTCTTTATTTTTATTTATTTATTTATTTATTTTTGGTGCTGGCTCTGGGGCTTGAACTCAGGGCCTCAATACTGTCCCTGAACTTTTGTGTGCTTAAGGTTAGTTAAGGCTACCACTTGAGCCACAGCTCCGTTTCTGACTTTTTGCAGTTAACTGGAGATAAAAGACTCATGGAATTTCCTGACCAGCCTGGCTTTAAACCACGATCCTCAGATCTCAGCCTCCTGAATAGCTAGGATTACAAGCGTGAGCCACCAGGGCCCAGCAGCAGTGACTTTTGATTAACACCGTTTCTAAGATGGCATCATCTGCTTTGTAGTTGTGGACCTCTGCAATCCTGGACCATCATTCCAAGTCCAACAACTGTGGGTAGTTTGTCCATATGTACAAGAACAGGAAATAACCTTCCTCAATAGAAAGAGTAAGTCATTTATTTCCCTATTGAGAGTAAGAAGAACACCCAGCTAAATTAAAGAGTCACATGAAAAGTAACTAATGAGACAAACAGGACCCATAACAATTTGATTTTTATTTTAATAATAGGAATTTGATTCTTGAGCACCTCAAATGAGCACAGGCTATAATGGATATAAAGTCTGAGTTTCTTTCTGCCCTTTCCACTCCTTCTTCTGACTTTATTTGGTAGCCAACAGAAGGCCCAAGCAGTAGATCATATTTCTGAAGCCCTTGTCATGCTCTGTGGTCCATGGACCAAAAACACCCAGTAGTCTGGACAAGTACTCCCCCAAACTAACGCCAGTGGACTGAGGTTTAGAATGAGGTAGCGTGATCCTGGGAGGCAGTGGATCCGAGACTCACCATCGGTAGGGCTCAGCCCTCGAGCAGCAGAGATCATAGACAGGGTCGGGCTGCTGTGCAGGGAGCGGATGTAGTCCATGTATGGGTTGATGTAGGGGTGAGGGGGGCTGAAGGGAGACTCTGAAGCAGCAGCAGGGTTCCGGTGCGGGGAGATCCTAATGAAGGGCAGGTCCGAGTACGTGGGGCTACTCGATAAGGCAGAAGGCCTAGGGGGATACAAGAGGTTTGCATGAGTCAAACAACTCCACAGGCAGATGTGGCCTGCGTGAAAAAGAAATAAGATTTTTAGTGAACTCACAGTTGGGGTGGTGGGCAAATTCCCCAGGCATATATACTCTCAGTCCTCTTACCTTAGAGTCAGGATGACATAAGCAGGTAAAACACCTGCATGAATGAAAGAGAGACAGAGACAGAAAGACAGATAGAAAGAGACAGAGAAAAGGAGACATAGATGGATAGATATCACATATACCACATTTATAACATGTGATATGTACTGCCATATATATGCATATGTGTATATATGTATATATGGCATCACATATATATCACATATACCACACATATCAAATACATGTGTGAATATATAATGGGCTGTGAACTCAGGGCCTGGCTTGCCAAGTAGGTACTCTGCTACCTGAGCCATGCCTCTAGCCCTTTATGCTGTAGCAATTTTTCCATTTTTTTTCACCTAAGTTCTCAGTTGTTCTTTCATTTGTTTGCCCCTGCCAGGATCAACCTTGGTTATTAGCTTCTTACATGTACTTTCTATGCAGCTAGGATTACAAGTGTAATTTTATTGTTGAAAGGAAGTGGGAGGGTGCGGGGGGGGGGGAGAGATGGGGGAGGTCTCACTAGCTTTTTGCCTGTTAGCCCTGGACCACAATTCTCCTGATCTCTACATTCTGAGTAGATATGATAATAGGTGAGAGCTATCATGTTGATCTAAAAACTAGTTTTTAGGCCAACCAAACCAAGCATCTCTCCAGCCTTGAAAGACAGTGGCCAATGGCTATAATCCTAGCTACATAGGAGTCAAGATCTGAGGATCAAGGCTCAAAGCCAGCTCAAAGAGGAAAGTTCAGGACAGTCTTATCTCTAATTAACCAACAGAAAGCTGAAAGTGGAGCTGTGGTCCAAGTGGTAGAGAATAACTCTTGAGTGAAAAAGCCAAGGGACAATGCCCAGGCCCTGAGTTCAAGTCCTAGCACTTACACAGAAAGAGAGAGACAGAGACAGAGACAGACAGACAGACAGAGACAGACAGAGACAGAGAGAAATGGTCAGAACAGTCATCTGATGAGGGTACTACTGTATAAATCACAGTCATACAACAAAGCTGTGTTAGTATCACCCAACAGATCTACTCCCAAATTCTTGGCAGCTAGAAGACTTGCCAGTCCTTCTTGCAGAAAAGCATAGACAGGAGGAGCAAGGTTTCTTGGGTGTGGCAGACAGGCAGGGGTGTGTTCTGCATTGTCTAGAGAAGCGCCCAAAGGTGGTGAGCAGAGGAGAGTTGACACCTTTGCAAAGAAGAGGTCAGGGCAGTGTGGAGAGGACCACCACTAAATGTTTCATGTACCTTACAAATACTTCACCAACAGTCCCAACATTGACCTGGTAAATATTTCTCAAGCTGATCTTTTTTAAGTTGTCATTTGCAGATTAAAATAGCACTAAGGAAAAAAAAATTATAGGTGTCTCTTTCTTTGTTTCTATTTCTAGGAGACAGACGCAGGAAAGACGCAGGAAAGGAACTGAAGTTAATATGGCCTCCCTAGTTCTGTGTCTCTGGGGCTCTCCATGGTCTCTGGCAGGGACTCTAAGCAGGACCCAAAGAGAGGGGGAAAACAAACAAACAAACATTCTGGGGAAAACACTAAGATTTAGAATTGGTCTTAAAAAAAACCCAACAACCATATATTCTGAGCTATTTATACAGTAGCAAAAGATTACAGGAAGATGCTATGATGTGCTAACCAAAAGCAGTATTTGATTTGGAGAGCCAATATTCCTGAAGTGTAGGGACTCCTCTGAGCTGTTTGCACTGGGTGAAAAGAGGAGTGAGCTATGGCTCCATTACCTGTGCTCCATGGCTAGCGAATTCAAGGTTCCAGGATCCCCATTCAGAGACAGTGCCCTCTACATGATTCCTTCCTATCTGTCTCCTCCAGACCTAATGGGCACCCACTATGCTGTTCTAACTGCTCAGCAGACTTAGACCCTGCACAAGAAACTACTTTACAGAAGCTCATGGGTATTTTGGTGTCATCACTTCAGACAATAAAGCAATATACAATCGCTCTTGTTTGTGGGAGTATTTTGACTCCAGATTAATTTTTACTAGGTCCTCATAAAAACTAGGTTACCATGAGAAAAGTAAAGGATTCTTTCTGTCCTTTTTTTTATTTTTTTTGTCCCAGTATTAAGCTTGAACTCAACGCTCTACCTCTTGAGTCAAATCTCCACTTTCAAATTTTGGTTGGTTAATTGGAGTCTCATGGATTTTCCTGCCCAGGATGACTATCAACCACAGTTCTCGAAACTTAGTTTCCTTGAGGAGCTAAGTGGGAGCCAGTGATGCCAAGTGGAGGATTCTTTTTTTTTGGGGGGGGGGTCCGGTCGTGGGGCCTGAACTCTGGGCCTGGGCACTGTCCCTCAGCTCTTCAGCTCAAGGCTAGCGCTCTACCACTTGAGCCACAGTGCCACTTCTGGCTTTTTTTCTTTTTGCTTATGTGGTGCTGAGGAATCGAACCCAGGGCCTCATGCATGCAAGACAAGCACTCTACCACTGAGCCACCTTCCCAGCCCTGGAGGATTCTTATTAAAGCATTCGTAACAGTTACTGTATGATGAAATTAAAAAGCAAATGAACAATATACGTATTGTAGACAATCAATGGACTTTTTCATGAGGATGAAAGAGCATTATATAATTTAATTTGTTTCTGCTTTTCCATCTACCATATTGGGTTACTAGAGCACCAGGATTAAAGTCTCAGTATTCTATCACCTGGTTTACCCATTACAGGAGATTAAGGGAGGTTTTAAAATCAGATTATTAGCTTGCTTGCACACTGCTTGGTACCCTAGAAATATACACATAACATCTCTTTCCATGCATGGACATACCAACCAGGGAAACCGAAACATGTTGTATTTCTTTAATACAACAAAATTGGTTTTGTTCTTTATAGAATAATTAGATACTATTCTTCATATTCAAGTACTGACCTAATACGGATCAAAGGGTGAGAAATCTCTCTATAATTCATTTTTAAATCAATTCATTTAACAAAGGCATAGCTTTAAATATATTAAATTTTACTAAGAAGTTTCTTACTTCCAGACATGATGGCTCATACCTGTAATCCTAGCTCTTTAGGAGGAAGACATGAGGAGGGATCACAACTGGAGGACAGTCCAGGCAAAATGTTCTCATGAGACCCCATCTCAACCAATAAAAGTCTGATGTGGTAGTTCAAACCTATCATGCCAAATACTAGGATTGTAGTCCAGGCCAACCACAGCATAAATATAAAACTATTCAAACATGAACTAAATCTGGATGCTGGTGGCTCAGGTCTGTAACAGTTTTTACACAGGAGATTTGGAAGATCTTGGTTCAAAGCCAGCCAAGGCAGAAATAAATGTGCTTTGAGTTCAAACCCTGGTTTCAATCAAGGGGTTGAGGGAAACAAAAACAGAACCAAAACAAAAAACAAAAACAAAGAAAGAAGGGAGAGAAGGAGAAAGGGAGGAAAGAAGAGAAAGTGAAGGAGGAGGGAGGAAGGAAAGAAAGGAAGGTAATTAAATTAAAACAAAAATAGGTGTAGTGGTGTATTTCAAGTGACAACAGAACACCTGCCTAGAAAGCACCAAGGCCCTGAGTTCAAAGCCCAGTGTTGCCAGAAACAAAGAAGAGCTGCTCTCCATTTAGCACAGGAAATTAGCAGCTAGAGCATGCATAACAAATGTTTTAGGCATGGTCTTACAGAACCTTGTACTCTGTCATTTCCTCTTCAGAGGTGGCTTCAGCATAACCTCTGAGCCAGAACCATTGAGGTTTTGTGCTTTTGCGGCTATTCACCTGCCACTTCTTCACTACCCAGCAGGGACACACTCAGGGTGGTAGAGGCTCATTTTCTTTGTAGCAAATAAACAAATATTTTCCATGACTATTCATTCAACTGACTTATGACTTTTATGCCTTTACCACTTTGTAGTTCAACGCTTAAATCTACATGCTGGGTGCTGATGGCTCACACCTATAATCCCTAGCTATTCAGGAGACTTAGATTTGAGAATGATGCTAGCCGGGGCAGGAAAGACCAGTAGTTGGTTAATTAAGCTGTGGCTCAAGTGGTACAGCCTCAGATTTGAGCAGAAAAGTGAAAGGGCAGCACCCAGGCCCTGAGTTGAAACACAAACAAACAATCATATACACAAATAAACCAAGGGAAAAATATTAAAAGCACTATACAATCACATTTATTCAAAGTTTAACAGCAGATAAAATTTTTTTAAAAGAAAAAAAATGAAATATCAACTTTAATGTTAAGCCAATGCACACCTTTGGGTGGCCTTTATGATATGTAGGAATTCTTTTTATTCATATGCTTGCATAGTACTTAAGTTTCTTCTCTGTTGTTATTAGTTATAACTCATGAAGCTATATGTGCATTGTATGTGCTCTTCTGTGTGCACGTTGCTCATTATTCATCTTTTCTGGGGACTGCTTTGAATGCAAAGTCTCTTGCTCATCTCACTTTTGCTAACAGCTGGCGCTCTACCTTGTGATCTATACCTGCAGTCCAGCTTTTAGCAATTTACTTGACGATGGAGACTTGCAGTGTTTGTCACCCAGGTTGGCTTCATACTGTGATCTTCCAGACTCCAGCCTAGAATCACAGCTGGAATTACAGATGTAAACCACCAGTGACTGGCTAAAGAGACTTATTGTGCGCTCAAAGTTTGCTGGGAGTTTTAGTCTAACATAGGTACAAAAAATAGGCCATTTGAAGTGGCAGACCCCTAAGATTAATTAATTAATTAATTAAAAATAGGCCATTTGAAGTGGCAGACCCCTGAGATTAATTGCCCCATGTACTATGACTTTACATCCTGAACACCTAAGGGGTTGTCATAGAATTTAACCCCTCATAGCCGGGTGCTGGTGGCTCACGCCTGTAATCCTAGCTACTCAG